TGAGAGCTGTACTTTTACAGATAGGCACAGACGACAAGCTTCATCCGGTTGCGTTCTATTTTCAAAAGTTTTCTCCTGTCAAAATCAACTATGAGATCCACGATAAAGAACTTCTTGCGATAGTGAATTCTTTTCAAGAGTGACGTCACTTTCTGGAAGGAGCTGCGCATCCGGTGACCGTATACATAGATCACAAGAATTTAGAGTACTTCATGGCGGCTCGGATTCTGCATCGTCGTCAAGCTCGATGAAATATGTTGCTATCCAGGTTTGACTATGTTATTATTTATTGGCCTAAGAAGCAACAAAGATTAATTATTGCATTATCAAGGAGATCGTATCTAGTGCCAAAGGCTGGAGAAGCAGTTTTTGATCAATAGTGTCGAACATTGTTGAAGTTGAAATAATTCAGGCTTTGCTCTACTATAGTGTCAATTGATGCTGACTTCCTCAATATCACGCAACGTGTCAATAATGACAAATTTAAAGAGGAAAGAGATCTTTTATACTTTGAAGAGCGGTTGTATATTCCAAAGGTACCAGCACGACTCTGAGTTCTCTAATCTTGACATGACTTTCCAGTTGTGGGTCATTTTGGATTCAATAAGACCTTGAAACTTATTTCCCGAGATTTTTAGTAGCCCTAAATGTGGAAGGATGTCAAGGATTTTGTCCTCTCTTGTGACATTTATTCAAGATCCAAGAATCCTCGACATCATCCTTATGGTCTTCTTCAGCCATTGCCTATTCTATTTCAGTCATGGTCTTCAATTTCTATGCACTTCATTACAGACCTGCCGCCATCGAATTCATTTGACAGCATCTTTGTTGTGGTAGATCGGCTTACAAAAATGGTACATTTTATCCCTTGCAAGAAAACATTGTCAAGCAAAGATACAGTAAGGCTCTTCCTTGATAGTGTGTATTGATATCATGGTTTATCAAATGATATTGTGTCGGATCGAGGAACCCATTTTGTATCAAAGTTCTAGAGATCTTTCTTTGAGATATTTAAGGTGGATATCAAGCTTTCTTCGGCTTTCCATGCTCAAATTGACGGCCAAACGGAACGGGTGAATCAAACTTTGGAGCAGTATTTACGATACAACATCAATTATCAACAAGATGATTGGACTGCATATCTATCATTAATTAAGTTTGCATATAACAACACCCTTCATTTGTCAACTCAACAAATATCATTCTTTTTCAACTATGGGTATCATCCGAAGCTTGATTTATTGAGTCCATCAATCAATAACAACTCGACAGCTGAAGGATTTGTGAAACAACTATCGGAGCTTCAAACTACGTTGAAACTTCAATTGCAAACTGCCTAAGAAGCATACAAGGCGTCCGTAGGTAAATTTAAGAATCAAGTACCTACTTTCAAAATTGGAGATAAAAATATGGCTGCTTTGACGGAATATCAAAACCAAGCGACCATGTGATAAGTTGGACTACCGGAGATTGGGACCATTTGTCTTCTAGAAGCAAATCAATCCAGTGGCATATCGTTTGGGATCACCGGCTGCTATGAAGATACACCTAGTCTTTCATGTTTCTTTGTTGGAGCCTTATCGAGAGTCATCTTTTCTTGAAAGAGTGCAATGTCCGCTACCTAATATTGAAATTGAGAACCACGAGAAATACGAGGTAGAAAAGGTACTAGATTTGTAGCATAAGTGGAAAAAATTGGAGTACCTAGTGCATTGGAGCGGCTTTGATATCAATGAGTACACATAAGAAGTAACAAAAAATCTTATCAATGCGTCGCAAAAGCTACAGGAGTTTCATCAATGCTATCCTTAGAAACCTAAGCCCTTTCGATGAAAGTTTTTCAGTGAAGTCTCTTCTCCTTGAAGCCTCTTAATCCTTGGCCTTACAAAGAAGGGAGAGAAGAAACCTCTAAAAGACATAGTTAGAGACTATAAATCTGTAACCTGAGTCCATTCTTCTATGTTTAGTGCTTATATTTTTCAGTGTGATATGGATAGCCAAGAAATAGATACCATACCAGTTATGTCTTCTCAACCGAGTATGTCATGAAGACGACTCTGAGATGAAGAACTGCCTGTACCACAAAGACAATGGAGGATACTTAATAACAGGTCGCTAGTCATTGTGTTTGAGGTAGAACCTGCCTAAGGTGATCTTCTCGAAGGACTATTTGCAGGGTATTTTCACAATGAAGACACGAAAGTTCATGCTTGGTCAAAAATCGAAGACATAGGACACTATCGTTGATTACAAGGACCAATAAACTACTTGTCGTGCAAACAATAATTGGAGTATATTGCAGACACTATGCGACAAATTTCCAACTTCTTACGTTGGTACTGACTCGCAATATGAGTACTTCTCGGAGACCTCAAAACTAAAAGGGGGAGGAGGTGATGTCAAGGACATACACTAAGAAGTTGTAGAAGATTCTAGAAGGTTTTAGAGAAGCTTTGTAGTTTGTGGAAGCTGTTTGAAAAGCTTCATAGATTGTGGAAGCTGCTTGAAAAGCTTCACAACTCGTGGAAGCTGCTTGAGAAGCTTCCTAGTTTGTGGAAGCTATTTAAGAAGCTTCTTAGCTTGTAGTATATATAGGAGCCGAGATTGAGGGGATCCTCAACCTCGATAACACACCTCTTGGAGCTCTAGCTCACCTCTCAAGTGTTGTTCTTATACTCATGTGATTAATTTAGTTCTTACCGATTCTTCTTGAGCTTCTTGTTAAGATTTCCATTCAGTATTATAAATGTGTGACACTGTTGTTGTTTTATCTTAGAGGTTTTTTGTTGTTGCTCTAGGTTATTTTCATCTAGTAGTATTGTTCTATTCAATAGTGTTATTTTCATCCAATAGTGTTGTTATTATCTAATTGTATTTTTTTATCCAATGGTACTACTTCCGTCCAATAGTGTTGTTTTCATCCAACTATGTTGTTTCATAAAATTATACTATTTCATCCAATCATATTATTTCATCCAATTATATTATTTTCATCCAATAGTGTTGTTTTCATTTGACTAAGTTTTTTTTATCTAGTGGTATTATTTCTATTTAATAGTGTTATTTTCATCCAATAGTATTTCTTTTCATTTGACTAAGTTTTTTTTTATATAGTGGTATTATTTCTGTCTAATAGTGTTGTTTTCATCCAATAGTATTTTTTTCATTTGACTAAGTTTTATTTATCTAGTGGTATTATTTCTCTCTAATAGTGTTGTTTTCATCCAATTGTGTTATTTCTTCCAGTTGTGTCTATTTTCATTTAGCGATGCTATTCCATCCAACTGATTGTTTGTTTGATTGTTTATTTGATTGTTTGTTTGTTTGTTTGTTTGTTTGTTTTTTTTGTTTTTGTTTTTGTTTTTGTTTTTTTTTTTCCTTATCTAGCTACTTCAATTTTGTTATTTCTATCTCATTCTTTTCTTTTCTTATTTTATTTTTTATTACTTATCTTAAGTTACATCAAATGGTAATCATTACTTGGAAGGTATTATTTAGAAAGTTAGAACTACAACCACTTGGTTAACTAACTAACTATTACAATAATCACACAATTAGTTTTTATTACCTTTCGAACTTATTGTGTAGTTATTTTTTCTTTTAAAGTAGATAGGGAGGTTTTTAGCTCACACAAAATATTTATAATAGATAAGTTATTTTAAGCATAGGTTGAATGTTTGATTCTCAATATGTGAATTTTTAAACCAAATATTTTTTTCTTTTTAGACAATGCCTCTTTTCATATTGTCAATAGGTTGGAAATAATCAATGTTTGTATTGTAATGTTTCTATTGAATGACATGCCATATATTCAACTAAAAGATGTGAGAGTTCTAGTTTCATTCAAAAGCATGTAATTTCAATTATATCTTTAACATGCTATTAATTATTATCAGTTCAAAAAAGTATAGATGTACCAAGCAGATCAATTACAAGTAACACATTGGTGTTGCTAAGCATAAAAAACCTATAACTGTCAATATATTTGTGAATTGATTTTACTATACTATACTAATTTGGCAACCATCCAAAACTTTCCAATTCTTTTCTTACCCCATTTGCTCATTTGGGATTGAGCAAAGCAATAGTCCTCACCAATCTTATATTGTTACTTGACCAAGTATAAATATAAAAAAAATCTTGTGAATATAACTAATTTTGTAAACCATGACATAGAAAAATTACATAATAATAGTCCATGTAAAACTTATGGACAAGGAGCATCTTGAGGCTTCCTACACAAATGGTACCATTCGATGTGATACGAACCATTTAAAAAATATTGAATTGGCACCCATATCCCATTAAAATATATGCACTTTTAGTATGCATTTAGGCAGTACTAACTGTACATCACCGTTAGATTATCGATGCCCAGCGGCGACAGGATGGGTCCACAGTGGTCATCAGTACCCGCGTACGAAGCGGTGGCAGGTGTGATTCGACGTCCGCTCATGGATTGATAAGAGCTTTGCAAGCTGACTGCAGTTCGACATGTCTGGAATGCAATCGACGTCGTTACAAGTGGATGATCAGCTGCAGCCGCAGGGCAACTTTCCGAGCCGTCCGCTGACAATTTTCAGTGCTAAACTGGGATACACGACAGGCCCCAGGGAAGAGATTTACGGAGCAGTGCAGGCGCTGCCTTGCGTCGCAGATTGCAGCTCAAGCTTGAGCGGACTGGACAAATGTGAGAATCTGGTGTTGGCGTTGTGCAATGGCGTCACGTGTCCTGCTGAATCTCTTGAATCCTCACGCGGAGAATCGTCCATGCGTTTGCAAGTTTAGCGGAGCATGTTGGAACGTTGTTCATGCGATGCTTCGAGTATCGTCACGTTTGGTTGGTGGTTAGGCCACGAAGTAGCCCGAAATTAATACGGATTGGTAGGTTCTGCAGACTCTTGCTCACTGCGTTGCGACAGATGGCGTGCTGAGCGCCGAAACCGAGAAGAACGACAAAAAGCTCTGTACGATATTTTGACGAAGTGGTTGATGTTGAGAGAGGCGCGGGCTGAGTGGAGGAATTAGCGTTCTGCGGCTGCAGGCGTTTGTGGTTGACTTGCAGAAAATCACGCAAAGGTAGTGTTGGGGTCACATTCCAAGTACATAATAACTTGTGGGCGTGATATGGAGGAGCGACTGTCGCCGAGGGTGTGCTTTGAGGAGTCTAGTGGGGAGCTGGAACCAGAATGGGTGAAACGAGGCGTAAGTTGGCACGAGCGAACTGATCACGACCAACTAGAGAAGGCCAGTTTGTTGGGCCAGGAATCTGCTCTTGGGAATGCGCCACAGAAGAGGTGGCGGGCGAAGAGTCTGAGCATGGGACATGGGAAGGTGATGGATTCCTCCGCTAGCTATTGGAAGAAACAACCGACGGACCTTGCGATAGAGATGGATCATGTGAATGCAGACAACAGGTCGTCGCAGCTAAAGAGAAGCAGTCTTCCTCATGGATCCGAGACGCAGATCAACTCGCAGTCAGGCCCAGAGATGAATAAGGATGACTTGGATGTGAGCTCAAATTGGCAGGGGTTTTTCCAGGTGGACTCGAGCCACACAAACTCGCAGAAAATACCAGCATTGCTTTCTCGGCTTCCGTACTCAGGCGAAAACGACACGAACATTATTGAGAACCCTGCATTTGCATTCGATGCTGTGAGGACCACTGGGGACAGGTTCAACCGAGGGGAGGAGTTGAGGAGTCTTCGTCTGCGCAAGAGCTCTAGCAGCAGCCAGCACAATTCGCCTCGGGATGACGTCGTTCTCAGTGCCTCCACAATGTCAACTAGTCCTTACAACAGAGCGAAGTCGAGATTTGCTGAGCCAAGAAAGCCAATGGATCACTTTACCGGTAGTCCCCGGAGATCGGGGGTTGTGCGATCCGGCCAGCGAGTTTCTGATCCACAAAGATCACAACATTTGCGATCTGGGAAGCTGTGGTCTGGTCAGCTGAAGTCGCAGATGATGAAGTCAGGAATGATGCCTCTTGGGCCCTTGGAGGAAGACGAGGACCCTTTCAATGACTTGGACATGCCCGACCGCCCCAAGTTTCAGAGGAAACTGACATGTGGAGTGTGCTTGGAGTGGATAGCGTTCTTTGTGCTACTCGGTGCCGTGATTTGCAGCAGGGTGCTTCCGAAGGCAAGAAACATGGCCTTGTGGGGGCTTTTGCTTTGGAAATGGTTTCTTCTGGCGCTGGTAATCGTGTGCGGTCGTTTGGTCTCGGGGTGGGTGGTGCGCTCGCTAGTTATCGTTTTCGAGATCAACTTCTTATTGCGAAAGCGGGTGCTGTACTTCGTCTATGCTTTGCGGCGGGGTGTCAGAAACTGTATCTGGTTAGCATCGGTGCTTATGGCATGGAATTTCATGTTCGACTCAAGAGCACAGGCACTCAGCGCGAAGCTTGTGTATATCACTAAGGTCTTACAATGCATTCTTCTGGCAGCAATACTATTCCTAGTTAAGGTGTTTTTAGTGAAGTTGCTGGCGTCGAGCTTCCATGTCGGCACTTATTTCGAGCGGATTCGCGACTCTCTGTTCAATCAGTATGTTTTAGAAATTCTCTCCGGGCCGCCAGTACTTGAGATGGACAGATTAAAACATGAGGACGAGAAGTTGATCGAGGAAGTTTCATTGCTGAAAAAAGCTGGTGCAACGACGAAGGGGTTGGAAGGGTTGCCAGGAATTGGGGAGAATACTGAAGCCCGAATGTCCAAAAACCTCGGAAGAAGTAGGACTGGCATTTCTAGGGAGGTCAAACCAGGCTCTAACATCACTATAGAACACCTGCACAAGCTGAATCGGAAAAATGTTTCAGTTTTCAATATGAAGCGTCTCATCAATTTGGTCAAGCACCAAGGAGTCACTACTTTTGGCCAAGGACTTGATGGTGGCGTGGGTAAAGGAGTGGATACAGAGATCAAGAGCGAGTGGCAAGCCAAGGTTGTTGCCAAGGAGATTTTTGACAACGTTTCAAGCCCTGGGGCACCGTAAGACTATTTCCACGCTAATGCTTTTGTTAGTCCTAATTTATTGTCTTGCATATAGCGTCAATCGTATTATCATATGCCTTAGAACGTTATGGATGAGCTGATCGACTAAAACGTTCAACAGTAAATGCTCTATCTAGTTATTCTTGTGCTCCCGTTTTTTTATTTTTGGGTTGCCTTAACAAATATGGAATGGTGTTGTGAATTGCAGACATATTATTGAGGAGGATCTTCTGCGATTCTTGTCAGAACAGGACACCATTCGTACACTCGCTCTTTTTGAAGGTGCCATGGAGACGGGGAAGATCACAAAGAAGGCTCTCAAGAGCTGGGTGGTGCATGTCCTCCTCCTTCTTTGACATGTCCTGTTAATTTGGTATTGATTAGACTTAAAAGAATTGTCGTTGCTATATCTTCTGAACAGTATTTGCAACTTTGTCGGTTTCTCGCTTAGATCAGCGTCATCGCAATGGATTCGTCGATGAATACTTCCATGACTCAGTTTTAACTGTCTTTGATTTCCACAGGTGAATGTGTATCAAGAGAGACGTGCACTTGCTTTGTCACTCAGTGATACTAAGAGTGCTGTCAGCAAGCTCCACCGCATTATCGATGTTATCCTATTCGTTATAGTGGTTGTTATCTGGCTTCTCATCTTGGATATTGCTACAACACAACTTCTGTTATTCGTTTCGTCTCAGTTGGTCCTTATGGTGTTCATATTTGGGAACACACTCAAGACTGTATTTGAGGCCATCGTCTTCGTTTTCGTCCATCACCCATTCGACGTCGGAGACCGGTGCCTCATTGATGGAACTATGGTATGGCGACTCACATTCTGCTTAAACGTCTTTTTCTTTAGCGAAAACCAAATGCTCAAATATATTATCTCAGTTAAGAACAACGTTCTCCGCTTCATCTTGTTAGCTTTCTGAAGATACAGTCAGTGGAGGTAGGCTCTACAAATCTGATCAATTGTGACCAGTAACTGACTGCGAAGTGTTCTCTATATTGTTGCAGTACGTGGTTGAAGAGATGAACATTTTGACGACAGTGTTTTTAGGAGATTTCAATGCGAAAGTCTGGTACCCTAACTCGGTGCTCGCCTCGAAGCCCATAACAAACTACTATCGAAGTCCAGACATGGGTGATATGTTTGAGTTCTTCATTGCAACATCCACTACTGCTGAGAAGATAGGACGGCTCAAAGAGCATATTGGCAGGTTTGTTTTAATCTCAAATGCCAAACCCATTCCAGTGATATCAATCGGTAAAATTTATACAGAGTATACTAATGCTTACAATCAGAACGCCTTTCAACACTTTCAATAGTTGATCATAATGTTTCACCTGCAATTGAGGGAAAGAATTGCTTTACACTTCCCCGTTCTAGTGTACTGACAATTCGCGTATATTTTTATTCTCTTTTGCAGGTACATCACAGGCAATCCTCAGCATTGGAAAGAAACTTTTGTTCTCAACTGCTTGGATTGTGCACCAGATACTGGAAAATTGAAACTGGTTGTGGGACTCTCACACACAATGAATTACCACAACATCGGGGAGAAGGTTGCCCGAAAGTCTCAGCTCATTCTAGAGATGAAGAAGGGCTTTGAGGAAATCGGCATCGAGTATCACCTTCCCCCGCAAGACGTGCACCTCAAGTCCATTCCTGGAACGACAATCAACTTTGATCGGTCATTGTAAACAAAATGTAAAAACTGGATGCGGCGCATCGACGATGTATGCATCTATAGTTTGAAAACGTGTTCAAAAACTCGAAATGTGTACCATACTTTGAGGTGAGTTGAGGTCCCTGATAGCAGGATTCAAAGTCTCCTGCAGTTTTAGCTCCAGAATTCTTCGAGACAGCCTAGAATATCATTTAAGAGTGTGATTTCTGACACTCTTGATTAGCCTGTTAGCAGGCCCCGAAGTGGGAAATCCTGTCTTAATTCCATATATATATATACATATACAAGACATTGTTCTATTGAGGTGGGCTGTCCATGAACTACGGTGTTAAGAAAGTCGTAGTATATTAGATACAGTAGTTACAGTTTTTGCGGAGATTTAGTGTGGATTGGGGCAACCTTGAATTGGGACCCGAATGTGAAAAATTGCTGACAATCTTTTTAATGAAAGAATAGCTGGACTTCTTTAACCATAATGCTCAAAAAAGAAGTGCAGAGATGTTGTGTGTTTATGTGAAGGGCACAAGTATGAACATACATAATTCTATGGTTTTATTGAGGAATCTATGGAATACACAAAGCATAATCCTGTACAATGTGAGTGTGTGTTTTGTATTTTGTATTTTTTTTTATTTCTTAAAAATAAAATTATCAGAATAAAATATATAAAAACATAGTAAATATATTATATTAAAAACATTTAATGTTGACTATACTATTTTTATTTTAAAATTTTATATATTAGATTTTACTATTACATGTACTTTTTAATACATAAAAAATATATTAATATTTATTAGAAAATCAAATAAGTTATTAATAAATAATTAAAACTTCACATAAACATAATAAGTAATATGTATATGTATACACATTGTACATATACATATTACTTAAAGAATCATTAAAAAAAATTTGATTCATAAATTAAATTAAAATAAATAATTTATAAAATTTAGTTGTTTTTTTACTTTTTTATTAAAATCTAAAAAATATGTGGAATACTACTTAAGGGTTTTTTTTTTTTTTTTTTTTTTTTTTTTTAATCTATTTAAAACTTTAAGAATTGCAAAAAAAATATAAATAAAATAATCACAACTTCACAAAATCCATGGCATTTCTAATTTTTTGATTTATTATTTAATGTTTATATTATTGATAATTCAAAAGTACTCAAATTATAAATCAATTTAAATGAATGAAGCATGTTATATCTGACCTGTTATTATCTAATATAATCAGTGGATCGCAAAAAACATCATGTATTAAAGGATATTGATCTTAAGAAGGAAATGATTGGTTGCATATGGAATTCAAAAGATCCAACAAAAAAAAATTATTCTTATCTCGCAAACACAAAACAAAACATGCAACAAACAACAAAATAAACCATGGTGTTGTAACTTGCAAAACCAACTTGCAAAACTTTTATCAATGCTTCAAGATTGATAATATGCAAGAAGATGAAGGAAGATAGCATGAGTCAGATAGCACTTGTTGCATTGACAAAGGAGAAATTTGAGCCGAAAAACAAGTTGCTCCAAAGTACTATTAGCAACATTCTTAACAAGCAAAATATTCTAGCATAACTTGACACATTGAACCTTACTACAAAGTATGAGCATTTATCTACATATCTTCAATTAGAGAAAGCACTAACAAACTAGGTCATTTAATACCAATACCATGGTGTTGTGCATATTAATAGCTAGATATATAAAAAAGAAAAGAAGTTCACTATAATTCTAAATATTTCAAATCTACCAACTTTCTTCAAAGGTTAAGTACAAAAGTTCAAGGAGAGCCACAATTTCAAAGCATTGAAGGTGTATGGTGAAAGTGTCTTTGCAAATAATACTACTATCAAAATTAAGATATCAAAACTCAAAGCTAAGCTCAAAGAATATACATTGTGCAACAAATATAATATGGATAAAACTAGCTTCTTTTATTCTATGTAACTTAATAAGGCAATTGCCCTTCAATAAGTATTTGACTTGAAGAAAGATAAAACCAAGATCAAAGTCACATTGATTGCCAATGCCAATGGATTACATCAATTCAATCTATTCTATATTTGATATACTTAGAAGTCTTATGCATTTAAGAAGAAAATCAAAGACGAACTTAACTTCTATTAATAAGCAATTAATAAAGCATAGATGATTGGTCTATTATTTCAAGGATGGCTGAAAAAGTTTGATTAAAAAATGTGGAATAAGAAGAACAAGATTCTCTTACTAATAAACAATGTCTTCTCTCATATCATTAAGAATGTGAAGATCTTTAATATCAAAGTAGTATTTCTAGAGCTGAATATAACATCAAAGACTCAATTAATGGATGCAAAAATTATTGCAACTTTCAAAAGGTAGTATCTATGTTTCCACCTATAAGATGCAATAGGTTGCAACAAACATAGCAAAATTGATATATATTTGATTGATCAGTTTATTGCCATGCATTGGTCTAATGCCATGTAAATAAACATTCTTTTTAATGTCATCAATAGTTGCTACAAGCACACTAGGTTGATTGATAAGACAATTAAGAAGTGGATAGAAATTGGAGAAGCACAAATCAACCAAGAGCTTGCCAATACAATAAAAAAAAAAACTTAAGCATCAAAAAATTGATATTGATTGGATTACTTTAAAATCTTATTGAGGAAGATGATACATGAGGATCTCATTGATAAAGCGATTGTCAAGATGATGGTTGATAAAAGAAGTAATAAGCATGAAGAAGAAGAAGGAAATGAAGCAATGGAACTAGAATTGATGATAAATAAAAAAATTGGGAATTTATCAGAGTTTAATTAACCTTGATGTTTTAATCATGTCTCATATCATAGCTTATAACATAGTGTAATAGATTCAAAAATAAATATAATAACTAAAAAAATATCAAATATCTCTCAATACTTTGCTCTATAGATTATAGATTTCCAAACTTCCATAGCATTTCTTTTCAATTCTTGTATATACTTCTATTACACATTGTCTTGAAAATTCCTTCTTTCTAATTTGGTATTTTTAAAGTTTTATATTGATTATTGAAATAGAAAATTTTTCATTTTAAAATATACGAATTGACATTGGTGGACTAATATTTCATCAAATATAAATAAATATTGAATAATAATGGATTGAATATTAAAAGGTCGATCATGTATTTTTAATAAATATTTAGTCTATATATATATATATATATATATATGGATAAAAATTATTACCAAAAATATGAAAAAAATACTTAAGTATATCTTTTTGAATTTTTAGATTTTTTATTATTTAAAAATATTGTAATACAAATATAAAGATTACAGTAAATATCAAAGTTTTTGATGACATGGTAATAAATTCTATTCAAAAAATCTAAAGAAATCTTAAAAAATTTAACAAAAATAATTTATTTTTTAATGTGATATTATTTATTATTTTTATGTATTTAATAAGTTTATCAAAATAAAATTTAAATAATATTATTTTAATTATTTAAATTTATTAAAAAATATTATTTAAAAAACATAAAAAAATCAAATAAAACTATTCTAGTTCTATTCTATTTTACAAATATTTATCTTTCATTCATTTTTTAACATTATTCACTAATGCATTCTTATATTATGTGAAAATCAACTTGAAGGCACATTAAGCATCTTGTTATGGAATGATTTGATCTTACCTTAAAGTTTAATTTACAATCCAAAACAATATATAAGATATTTAGAAACATATTTTTTACAATCTTAATCAACTTAAGTAAGATTTTGATCATCCTAAGTATATTCTCCCAATTATAAAAAAATCATAGATATATCTTATTGCACTCTAATCGACCCCAAATAAATCTTAAATAATCCTTAAAAATACTAATTAAATCCTAAAAAGATTCTAACCAACTTCAAATAAATTAAAAATATATGTATTTTTGAAGAAATTATTAAAAAAATATTTAAAAAAATACCAAAAATATTATAAAAAAACTTGAAGAAACCTTTAAGAAATCCTAACAAATTCCTAGAAATAATAAATAAATCCTTGATAAAACTGAAAGAAATCTTAAAAAAAATTTAATTAAATTCTTATTAAATCTTTTAGAAATTTTAAAATTTTAATATTTATTAAATCATTTATTGATCTTAATTAAAATTCTTTAAACCTTAAAATATCCTAGTTAACAATAAGTTCAAATAAGTAGATACAAAACTTCTACTAATAAAGAACATGAAAGATTTTAGTAGATATAAGTGAATTGAGGAATATTAAGGATAATTTGCAACTTTTAATATCAAATGAAAATTTCTACAAAGAGAGATAAGCAACTCTCTTTAAGAAAAATATCAATATTAGAAAATAAAAAATATATATATATATATATATATATATATATATATATATATATTTAAAGGTAGGTAGTCCGCAACCTTCAAAACAATACAAAACAATACAATAGAAGTAGAATAATCTACTCACTTCTAAAATAAGACAAAAACAATAAGTTAGCACTCTTGTCAAATTGTCAAGGATATAAATCTCGAAGAAAGAAATCCTCAATACATTCTTGTATCACTGAAAGGAACTAAAAAGTCACTCAAAGATGATATAATAATGAACTAGAATGGTTATTGCCAAAAACAAGAAGACTAGAAAGTCCAAAAATAAGACTAAGGACTAGAAAGGCATTGATAAGAGTAAAGAAGGCTTCACTCTTGCCTCTATATATACTCTTAATTAAAAGCTACATGGTAATGTCCTATATGACCTTCAAAACATGTTGGCTTTACAAGATATATATCTTAACTTGCAAGAAAAATTTCTTATATGTATTCATATATATATAAGCTTGGTAGATTAGAAACTTAGTCAATAAATTAACAACATATTGGTAGCTTATTTAGCTTATTTTGTAAGCTACCAATATGTTGTTAATTTATTGACTAAGTTTCTAATCTACCAATCAACTACAAACATATATAAAGTAAAAAAAATGTCTAAAAGATTTTATGAAATTAACCTACTTTTATTTACTTTTATCTACTTCTACCTAATCATATAGGTATTTACTAGTTTATTTATGTATATCCATGACATGTACTTTCAATAACTACCACAATAAATTTCAACTGCAAATTTGTTACGGATCTTGAGGGATTGTCAAAATCCTAATTGTAGCTTCAAACCCTTGCTTACATATACTCATGTGTAATTTTCTTCATATCTCAAAAATTAAGTATTCAAATACCATAAAATTTTGATATATAGCTTTTTAATGTAATAATATACACTTTTAAATTTTTGATCCAAAAATTCATTCAAAAACTCAAGCTATGGCTCCAATCATTACTATCAATAAAACAACTCATTTATTGCCTTTGAATTATATATGCTGTCTTTAATGTTCTATAATTCTTTCATACAAATTCCAAATACAAAACTTCTTTAACAAAAGATATAGGTCTTAAAATTATCCT